ACAGGGTGGCTGGTTCACACTTAGAAAGGTCTCGGACTTATTAATGGAGAGTCACAGCTTGCAGCAACTGAGGAAGGCCAATAAAGTGGCTATCTTCAGGCCTGAGATACTTTTTTACTGTAATCAAGGTACCATAGATCTGATAGTTTCTCCCCCAAACATTCACATCCACAACCTGTTCACCTGGGAGCCAATCAGATTGTTGTTGCCAGGCAGGAGACCTTTGTCATTGATAACTGGTCACCATTTCACAGGCCAGCCAGCTACATGTTACAGGATGAATCACAGTTCCCTGCCTTGAGGCTGTCTGTAACCAGGCTTTCCCCACTGCTTGAGGCAGCTGCTTACAATGAGGCTCAGCGAACTTTCTTTTTTTAAAAAGTGCAGCCATTCCCCAGAAATCCTTCGCTTTCAAAACGGTTTTTGTTTCACCATATCAACCACAATCAGAAGACAGAAACATAAAAAAGACAGACTTTAAACAAATGTCCTTCCACCATCCCTCCATCCGTGTAGAGTGTCAAATCAGTTTGTAATCTGTGCCCTTCGTTCCAGTCTGTCCACCCAGTCACTTCGTCTCAAGCAGTTTCAAGGTGACCTCAACATTCCACTTGCTGCAGATTCAAATGTTTAACATTTCCTCATCAATTAAATCCTTCAACCCAGCAACAAGTCAAAAAACATAAGGTATCCGAATGGGTTTATGAACAGGAAGATGTTAGAAGGATATGGTCCAGGTGCTGGCCAATGGGACTAGGTCAGGTTCAGCTGCCTGATAAGTGCAGACAAGTTGGACTGAAGGGTCTGTATATGTGCTATATGACTCTCCAACTCGATACAAAAGTGTTCACAATCTATGGAATGATTTTTATATGTTTTTTTGCCATTTCTCGCAAACATATTTGTTCAAAATGGGCCAAGTGTAATTTTTAAAGTTGCATAGTTTCAACCTGTTTTATAAACTGTAAAATTTCAATTAAATCTGTTGTTTTCCAGAACTGCTGGGCCTGGCACAGGTTCCTCATTTCCCCGTCTTAGTGCAAGCTCCTGCAGGGAACAGCACCGCCCACCTCAGCCGCTTCACATACATCCCAACGGAAGCTGCACATTTCCACACACAACCTCACTGCAAGGCAACACATTCACCCGGTAACCAGACCATCAACAAGGATCACTCAGTACGGAGAGAGAGAGAGAGACAGCAGTGCAGCACAGTGGCTCTGTGGTTAACACTGCTGCCTCACAGCATCAGAGACCTGGGTGATTCCACCCTCGGGTGACTGTCTGTGTGGCTTTTGCACATTCTGGCCGTGTCTGCGTAGGTTTCTGTGGGTCTATCTGGTTTTCTAACGAGGCTAAGCCATGCTAAATTGGCCCATAGTGTCGAGGGAAATACAGGCTAGGTGAATTAGCTATGGTACGTGTGGGGTTACCAGGATAGTGGTGGGTTCTGGGTCTGGATGGTCGGTGTGGACTTGATGGGCCAAATGGCCTCTTTCCAAGCTGATAGGATTCTATGATTCCAGGAGATAGAGAGATGTAGCAGGAGGGAGAGGGGGAGAGGCACAGAAGGGGAGAGAGAGCTTGTGAGCAGTAGAGTGAGAAGGAGAGAGATCCCATTACTTGTTTGGTTGAAGCTGAACTTTGGTGTTTGTTCTGTGCTTCAGGGGGAGTCACTGCTGTCAACAAAATGACTGGTTCACAGTGCTCGGGGCGAGATAGTGAGAAGGAGAAGGCTGTAGCTACCAGTGAACATCGAGACACACGGAGAGCAGGTAGGAGTCTGGCTCAGATTGATCGAGCTGATTCTAATTGGATAAGAATTGTGATTGAGTTAAAATCCACCTCAATAGAGTCTAAGCACACATTCCTTTGACCTTTGGGAGTGTCAAACTGGGGAAACTGCTTGAAAGGAAGGGGTTTCCGATTTAAGGTGGACGTGAGGGGAGATTTGTTCTTTCAGAGGTTCATTACTCTTTAGAATTGTGTTCCTAGCAAGCAGTGAAGGCTGGGTCATTGAATATATTTAAGGCCAAGTTATACAGAGTTTTGATCGATGGAAGATCATTGGTTCTCAGGGATAGACAGGAGTGTGGAGTTGAAGCTATCAGAGCAGCCTCAGTGGACCGAATGGCCTGCTCACTCTCCAGTTTCTTACGGTCTGTGAATACCATCACTGAATCCCCCGCTACCAACATCCTGGGGGTTATCATTGACCAGAAACTCAACTGCACCCACCACATTAACAGAGTGGCTACAAGAGCAGGCCAGAGGTTGGGAATACTGTGGCGAATAACTCACCTCCTGACTCCTCAAAGCCTGTCCACCCATCTACAAGGTACAAGTCAGGAGGGCGATGAATGAGTGCAGCCCCAACAATGCTCAAGAAGCTCGACACCATCCAGGACAAATCAGCCCGCTTGATTGGCACCACATTCCACAAGCATCCACTCCCTCCACCGACACTCAGCAGCAGCAGTGTGTACCATCTACAAGATGCGCTGCAGAAATTCACCAAAGATCCTCAGGCAGCACCTTCCAAACCCACGGCCACTTCCATCTGGAAGGACAAGGGCAGCAGATACATAGGAACACCGCCCCCTGCAATTTCCCGTCCAAGCCACTCACCATCCTGACTTGGAAACATATCACCGTTCCTTCAGTGTCACTGGGTCAACATCCTGGAATTCCCTCCCAGAGAGCATTGTGGGTCAACCCACAGCACATAGACTGCAGCGGTTCAAGAAGGCAGCTCACCCCCACCTTCTCAAGGGGCAACTAGGGACGAGTAATAAATGCTGGGAGTATTTCTCACATCCTAGAAAGATATTTTTAGAAAAAGATTTGTGTATTGTGTTTACACCATCTGTCTATTCTTTTCACAGTTTGATCACCTCACACTGTCCCTTGTACTATGTAAATAGAAGCAAAATACTGCAGATGTTGCAAATCTGAAACGAGCAGAATGCTGGAGAAACTCAGCAGGTCTGGCAGCATCTGGGTGGAGAGAGAACAACAGAGTGAATGTTTTCTGTCTGGCGTGATCTACTTCAGTGCTGCCAGACTGACTCAGTTTGTCCAGCACTTCCTCTTGTTACATTATGCACACATTCTGTCTGTCAAACCACCACCACACCCCACCACCCCTCACAACCCCCCCACCCCCGCTCACCCACCCCATTTCTTCTGACCTCACATCTGGTTTTGTTTCTTCCAGGTTCTGAGGAGGGGATTTGTACAGCAGCACACTCTGAACCCCACACTCGCGCTCCCCCTTCTCCCCATACCCGTGTCCCCACCTCGCCCCCCACTCAAGCCTCCCCATCACCCCACACCCACCCCTCAACACACACTCGTGCCCCTGCCTCGCCCCATACCCACACCCACACCCACCCCTCACCCTACACGCGCTCCCCTCTAACACATGAAAATATCCAGCATCGACCCAGTGTTCTCCAGAATACCAGAGTCAGACACGTTATCACTTCCATGGACCCAGCAATGCCATCAGTTCTGAGGTAAGTGCTTTGTCTGAAGAGATAACAAGGAAACTCTGTGAAATTATTGCCAACCTGCTTTCCAGGTTTGTTTTTGTGGGCAGCGTGGAGGATGCTGTTTGCAATTGTAGCAGGCACAGGGCACCCCCTCCAAATCGTGTTTACCAACGGATCAAAATATCATCAATAACCAATCCCCTCCCCATCAGGGCAGCCACTGCAGGCTCACTGCAAAGAGATAGCAGCCACATACAGGGGCTGAATGGTCTTCTGCCAACTTAATATCCCTAAGTCTTTGAGATAGAAGTAATTTTCCACTGTCCTGATTTCTCACAAACTCACTTGCTGATTCCTAACAGGAAACAACACAAAAAGCTGGAGCAGTTTCTGAAGCAACCAGCAAGAGAGGGGTCCAGGGGCTGACAGGGGAAGGTGGGGAGAGGAAGAAGGAACGTGGGGGATGGATGTAGACAGAGGGTAGAGTGGGTCCGGGGTTAGAGACCACAAAGTTTTCAATGTGGGGACATGTATAGGGGCTGTGTGTTGTACCTTGTAAATCTCCAATGGCGAACGTTGTTTGTTATGGTACTGGTGGTGGTGCAGTTACATTTTAAAGTCAATCTGATGAAGCAACCTTCAGTTATCTGTGTAAAACCTAATCAGAACCTTGAGATCATATTTTATCCTTTTCCAAACCAAACCCGCACTCTCAGACCAGAGTGAGGTGGGTAAGAGATGCAGCACAGAGGTTGGGAGTGTGAAAATCTATATTTCCTCTCCCTGACCACTGTCCTTTCCCCATTCCCTCCCTCTGTGTCCTTAGTTCGCCTCTTGCCTTTTCTCTCTGGCCTCTATTTCAGTCTCATCCCTCTCTGTTTGGAATCTCCTCACTACCTTCCCCTTGCCAGTTCCTAGGTTTCAATTTTTATAAAACCTACAAATGAACTTCTGTTCTTGAATCTCACAGACATGTATCCTGTGTCCCATCACCAGGACGACCTGCTGCCCTGGCTCTCCCCCAGCAATACCCTCCCAGTGGTCCTGAGAGAATTGCTACTTCACCACCAGCTCGTTCTCGGCTTAACGACAGCAGGACAGAGAGCCACAGAATGGACAACTTCCTCACTGCCCGGCCGCCAGCTTCAGACTGGTCAGGGCATAGAAGCATCAATAACAGGGCACAAGCAATCCCAATTGGTCAGTACAATTCCAGTCCAGAGAAGCAGCATTCTGCAGAACCATGTGTCGTCACTGCCCTGAGTCGGCGATGTAAGGAAAAGGACCCAAATCAACCATCGTCCAGCAATGAACAGGACCCGCAGGAATTTCGTAAGATCACTGACTCTGTCTTTCTCCTGTCTCTAACCTGCATATAGTTGCACATGATGGCCTTCCTTTTTTATACATTTATAAGAGGCCAGAATTAGAGGAGCATATATATCTTGGGAGGTTGTAGAGCTGGAGGAGATTGCAGAACTAGGAAGGGACAAGGATTGCAGACCCAGGGGAGCTGTTTCTAATGTTAGTAAAGTCACAGCAGGGGGACTGTGAGCAGTTCTAGCCTCTGCATTACAGGAAGACTTCGCCGAAGGGTCTGCAGAGGAGATTCAATTCTAGATGTTTCCTGGACTGCAACAGTTTGACTATGAAGAGACTAAATAGGCTTCAGTTATTCTCCTCAGAACAGAGAAGGCAGGGGGGAAACAACAGATTGAGGTGTACAGCATTCTGAGGGGTGTAGATAGGTAGATAGGGATACAGATCGCTGAGATAGTAAGAACTGCAGATGCTGGAGTCAGAGACAACACAGTGTGGAGCTGGATGAACACAGCAGGCCAGGCAGCATCAGAGGAGCAGGAAAGCTGACGTTTCGGGTCGGGACCCTTCTTCAGAAAGATAGGGATACACTTTTTTCCCTTTTCATAGAGGAGTCAGGAACCTGGGGCACAGTTTTAAGGTAAGGAGCAGGAGGTTTAGAGGGCATTTGAGGAATTGTTTTTCATTCAGAGGATGGTGGGTATCTGGAACATACTGTCTGAGAGAGTGGTAGAGACAGGTACCCTCCAGACATTGAAGAATTGTTTGGATGACCACTTGAAAGGCTGTAGCATTTGAGGCTATGGACCAAGAGTTGGGAAATAGGATTAGAATAGATAGATCAAAAACAGAAGTTGCTGGAAAAACTCAGGAAGTCCAGCAGCATCTGTGAAGAAAAAATCAGAGTTAACGTTGCGGGTCTGGTGAGCCTTCCTCAGAAACAATAGGTGGAGATGGAGCCCAGAGAGAGAGAGAAAAACAGTTAGACAGAGAAAGGAGTGGGTAAAGGTCAGCCTGGGGGAATGAGTAGTTGTTAGTGGCTGACAATGGGTTAGTTTGTGGTGGAAGCCCATGTGATGACAAGGTCTGGTGTGTGGGGCCTGGGGTAAGGACATGGGAAATGGTGCTCAGGGCCCAACGTTATTGAACTCAAGATAGAGCCCAGAAGACTGTAGGGTCCCCAAGTGGAAAATGAGGTGTTTTTCTTCCAGCTGGTGCTGAGCTTCACTGGAACATTGCAGCAAGATATTGGGGATTAGGGGGGAATGCTGGATCTGGGTGGGATGCTGTTTGGACGGTCAGTGCAGACATTGATGGGCCAAACTGCCTCTTTCCACATTGTAGGAGTTCTATGATGTAAAGCTTCCGAAGAATTGTGAATGTAAGTGGGGAGGGTCTGGACAAGGAGAGAAAAAAAAACATTGAGGTGAGTTCGGAAGAGATGGGTTCTGTGGGGCAGGAGCAGGCAGAAACAAATGGATGTTTGATGACCAGCATGGTCACGATGAGTCGAAGTGCCTCTTTCCGTGCTGTAAAAACTCTAACTCCAGCAACAGAAGAGACTGTGGAAGGATTTGAATACAGGGAAAAGAATGTTAATGTCAGTGTTGCAGTGTAGGTCTGTGAGCGCAGGGCTGTCGGGGAACCTAAACATGGTGCGAGGTAGGTCATGGCCATCAGAGTTCTGAAGGATTTCCTAAAATGTGTGGAAAGTTCTGAAAGATAACTGCAGATTCCCCACAACAAGTGACAGTCAATAAATATGGAACTGGAAAAGCACAGCAGGTCCACAGCATCCGAGGAGCAGGAAATTCCTGACCACAAGTGACATGTTTCCCACAAGGTTTTTCTAAGAAAAGGTGTAATTGTTAATTTCACTGAGCTGGTAAATCATTTCAATGTCTGACTCAGAAATGCTTCACAACGATGGAGCTCTTGTCATTCTGAGGGAATCTTGAAGGTTCCTGGTGCGTTCAGCCAGTCTCACATCATCAAAGACATTGTCTTTCTGGAAAAGGTCCTGTCACTTCTTCCAATCAATCTGTTTTCCAGGTAATTACAGCCAAGTCAGTGAGACTTAACAGAAGTAACAAAAGCTGACATGTTTCCCTTACAGGCAGAGACAAAACCAGACACACAGCAATGATTACAATGCTGCTTACTGACTGTTATAAGAGATAAGAAAAGTAGGCCATTCAGCCCATTGAGTCTGCTCTGTTCCTCAGTGAGATCATGGCTGATCTGCTAATCCTCAGTTCCACGTTTCTGCCATTTACCCCCAGCCCTCAAGGACAGTGAACCCATCGCCAACCCCAGCCATACTGCAGTAACAATTACTGCAGTGTGTGATTTCAGGTTGATGTTTTTCTCTCCTTGTCCAGACCCTCCCCACTTACATTCACAATTCTTCGGAAGCTTTACATCATAGAACTCCTACAATGTGGAAAGAGGCAGTTTGGCCCATCAATGTCTGCACTGACCGTCCAAACAGCATCCCACCCAGATCCAGCATTCCCTGTTTTAAAAATGCAAGACCTCGATGAACGCAGAGCACAAATGAACCCCATGTCAGCACGTTACCATCACACCAACACATTCACATTGAACCTCAGGTTGATGGAAAGGGTGTTTCTAACAAAGACAGGCTAGTGCCTGTTCACATAGCAACACCAGGCTGGCATTAGGAGTTTCAGCACTCACTGTCCTTCTGAAAGGAAGTTCCCCACAAGATTCAGGGTATTTCCTGGCAAGAGAGAAACTTCGACACTTTCATGGTCAGCAGAAATGTTCATCTTGTGGAGGTGCAGACACTGAAAATGTAGGACATGAAGTGCTGAATTTGCATACAGAAATATCCAATAACGATTATGTGATAAGATCAAACCTAATTTAAACAACAAGGCATTTTTACAGGCACTTAATCCAGCAACAGGACTTCCATTCGCAACTGCATCTGAGAAACAGCACCTCTGACAGTGCGGCGCTCCGTCAGCACTGACCCTCCGACAGTGCGGCGCTCTGTCAGCACTGACCCTCCAACAGTGCCCGCTCCGTCAGCACTGACCCTCCGACAGTGCGGCGCTCCGTCAGCACTGGCCCTCCAACAGTGCGGCGCTCCCTCAGCACTGACCCTCCAACAGTGC